TCTCAAAAAATCAGCAGTTACTAGCAAGTAACTTTTTAAAAGATATATACTTACAAGCAGTGCTTTAAAAAAAAATGCTGGTAATCCAGGGGAAAAGTTGCTGAACTCTGACTGGAGGTGCCGGTACTGAGTACCAGGCAGTACCGTCACAAAAAAAGCACTGCTTATAAGCTTCTATGCATTCCCACCTGTGGGACAATAGCGTGTTGTGCACTCTCTGATGAATGGTGGGCAAGGAGTTTAATGAAATATGGACTGTAGCACCATATGTTGAAAGTCTAATCTGAACTGCAAGTTGCTGCTCTATCAACCTCCCAACCTCCAATCTTGGAATATGGCTAAAAAAGTCCCTGAAGTAGCAATGGCCACTGGAAATGAAACTTGAATCCTGCAGGCACTAGCAGTTTAATTATATTGTAAGAGAACTTATGCACTTCCTACTTCACTACTATAGTTTCTAGATTGAGGTAAATTTCCCCTTCAACTTTGTAGACTACTTTGTAGACTACTATGTACAGTAGACTGGCCATCAGAGTTCTTAATTTACTAGTTCTCCTTGCTGAGGTGATGGCAACAAATAAAAGCTGTCTTTAAGGGAAAAAAGGGTCTTTGGGAGTCTTGTTGGAACTAGTTTCTAGTCCTAGGAAGTAGAAAATTCCCTTGTAGAAGGAAAGGTAACTAACTACAGTAAAACTCCAATAGTCCGGCATCCAATTGTACGGCACTCCTGATAGTCCAGCACTAAAATGGCAAGAGCCTAGTGAGTGAGCTTCGGCAAAAAATGAGTTACAAGGCAACAGCGGCAGCAGCTGAACTGAGCAAAAAGGGTAAAAAAGGGTTAAAAAAACTAAAACATCACAGTATACTGTATATAGTATGTACAACAAAAAGGATTGAGAACACTTTATATACAGTGTGTATACACACACACACACATATATAACCAGTTTATAGTACCTCCTGATAATCCGGCATATCCGATAATCCGGCACCACCTAGTTCCCAAAGGTTCTGGATTATCGGAAGTCTACTATAGTTCCTTTAAGAATCTGACAGTTGTAAAATGAGAGAGACAGTTTTCCTTTTAACATGCTGGGAGCATGTGGCTATAGCTGTCTGATGGACTTTCAAGTAACAGGCAGAGTCCTTGAGACTTTAGATAAAGCAAGTAGCCTAGAATCACAGGTGGGAACTGGAAGATGGCCCTCAAAAAATACTGTCCCTTGATTCCCACCAGTTCAACTGCTGCAACACTTGCATCAAGGCAGTGAATCTCCTTTTCAGCCTCTCTCTATTTGGGGCATGGAGTGGAGTTCCCCAAAGCTGCAGAAGTCTAGCATGCAGGCAGTGATAAAAAATGATGTGTGTCGAAGCTATAAACCCAAGAATCTCAGAAAGAAGTAAATACTCTGCTCTGGAAATCTTCATAGAATGACATGGTCCTGATGGATTATGAGGAATCTGTTTCCAGAAGGAATGTTCTAGCCTATGGTGAGGCCAACATTACACTGAGAAACATTATCCCTAGAGTGAGTCAAAGAGCAATTTCTTCCAGTTCACCTGAAGACCTAGAGAACAGAACAGGCTGCTGCTGCGAATGGTGGTAATGGCTACTATCAATCTCAGTTCTGACTTTGCTTATCAATCTATCATGCAACTTGCACAAACATTCAAGACAGGGAACATGCGTATATGATTCTGGGATTCAAGGTAGGCATAATGTGTACTTCTTGAAACTTTATCATCATCCATGCTGATGACTAGGGTGCCAGTGAGGGGGAGAACCCTAGAGAACTTGGAAAAATGTAATTCCCTACTACTCTATACTAGGAATAAAATCTAAACACAAACTAGGAATAATCCAGGACAAGACCAATAATCCCTTTTGCTCTCTGCAGTGGTGAAGAAACAGAAAGGCTGGAAAAGACTGCTTCCTTATATAAAATAGGTCAGCTGACATACATCTTTGCTTAGCGTTCTTGTACCCCTTCAGACAGTGCTTCCACATAGTTGCATTAGGAACGGACATCCCAGAAGTGGGAATGTACAAAGACTCTTAAAGAAGAATAATTTTTCTGAGATAAAGTTCCTAAACAGCACTACAGGAAGAAAATCTTAGGGCTGGTAAAGGTACAATTCTTAATACGTTCTTGCCTTGACTATTTGGTTCTGTGAAAATATATTGCACATGGCCCCAGTCGTCACTGCTTTTCAGTTTTTTCTGGAGAAGGTACATGCCTCTAGTACAGTGACAGTTAATGGAGTTAATTACAATTATTATAAAAATGCTATAATTTCCCTAAAATTTAATGTAATAGTTACTAAAACTGGAAACTTTACACTTGTATCAAATCAACTATATTTGAATATAAGGATATTACTTACCTTGCATTCACAATGTTTCCTGCGTTTAACTCTACCATTTCTTCAAATCCAATGGCAAATATGTCAATAGGTTTACTTCTTCGATCTGCATTTAAATATTTAAAAAAATGCTATTTGTTCCTCACAATTATCTTTATAACTAAGACCTTGTATACCAATTTTTATTTCCCATGATCAAAGGTTTCAAACCAACCAAGAGAATATGTATCCTACCTTGGAATTCCTGGATACCAGCTAACTTTGGTGCATCTAAAAGCCAGTCAGTGAGTGTCTGATTTTTAAAAGCAATGCTTCGAAATTGCTTCCCACCATTGACATTCCATGTTCCGACACATACTCGAATTTTTTTGGGCTTTGAGTACTTATAAAAGTTTTCACACATCCCCTTCAGTACTTTTACAGATGCTGTAAAAAAGGTTTAAAATGCATTATTTGGCATAAAACATTTTTCACAATATCCAACAGAACAAAATCCTAGATGACTTATTTCTCCTCTTAAACAAAATACAGCTAATAAATGCATGATCATGCAGAAAATTATCAGCTTTGAAAGACACTGCAGTGTTTTGAAAAAGTTATGCGCTTTACAATGGAAAATAATAATGTTATTTGTCAGGGTGGGATGCTGACTGAAAAGAAAACTGGAAAAAATTGTATTGTTTTAGAGTTAAATTCTTAACTTTTCTAAGAAAGAAAATATATTAAGATAATTTTTTAAGAAGTTTCAGAAATATCACTGTTGCACTGTCTCTAATCTGTGAATGATTTGTCAGTGAAAGCCACCATTTTTAATGATTCATCCCTACATGAAGTCTTATCTATGTTGATTAATAAGTGAAATTCCGTTCCTATTTAAAATGGGCACAAAATAAGTTTTTCGGGTTTGTTAATTTTAGTCCTGGAGGAATTCTGCAATAGTTGCATTTGGAGCCATAGTAAAATTGCAGAATTCCCCCAGGACTGTAATTTGTATCACTTAAAACTAACCTGATTAAATGTGATGAATTTAAATAAACAAATCTACACAAATAGTACACCTTATCAATCATTCTAATGGATTTATTTTGGTTAGACCCTTGTAAATTAATTATACTAATTTACGGTAATAGAAATGTACAAATCTGGGTTTTTTTGATCAAATGGGAGATGAACATCCAAAGTCCAACTCAGTATCAGAGGATAAAAGATTCACCAATGAGTAGTGCACTAGCCTAGAACTTGGAACACTTGGATTTCATTTCTTGCTCCATAAGATACACTCTGTGCTTCAGTTTCCCATGTGTGAAATGTGCAAAAGCACAAGGTGTTGTGAGGATAAAAACATTAAAGATTGTGAGTGTGTTATTTGAAGGACCAAGTGCCAGTTCTCAAAGTCCCCGGGCCTCACTTAACACTGACAAATGCATAGCTGGAAACCAGTCTTGCTTACTGATGGGTTGGTATAGTTAAAATAGATATCAGTATTAAAGGAATGTGTATGGAATGTTGTAGGATGATGCATGTATTATCCTACTTATAATATTTGTAACCCATGGCATAAAATTATATTGAGTATTTGCCTCGTAAACCTTCTTAATCGCATACCTCAAACAAGAAAAGCAGCATTAATTAAAGTGTTCCTCCTGCACACAAAATGGCTCATTAAAGGCAAATGAGACCCCGTGATTGCATTCCTCCCTCCCTCCAGGAGGGGGAGACCTGCACATGAACTTGTCCCATCAGGTTAGATTCTGGAGGTGAAGGGAACAAAGATTCCTGAGCAAGTAGAAACTGAGGGGAAAAGATTCCTAAACATAACCAGGTGCTCCCCATTATGCTTGTCATGGGTCAACCCTAAAGGACAGATGGAGCTGCTTATTACAGAAACTCATATTACCTTTTAAAATCTAGGCCTGTAACTCACCTGAGTGTGTGTGTTTCTTGTTTTAATCTTGTAAAAAGTTATTTCTTAATTAGTAAATCTTTAGTTCATTTATAATAGGACTAGCTATAGGCATTGTGTTTGGTTAGAGAACTTCGTATAAATGACTTGGGGTCCTTTGGGATTGGGAGCGATCAGAACATTATTGTAACTTCTGGTGTAAATCAACCATGTATCACATAGTCCAGCTTGTCTGGGTGGCAAGATGTGCTTAAATGCCCATGGGATCTATCCATATCTTCATGGTAAAACTGTTTAGGAGTTCACACTTGTTACTGTATGGGGGAATTGAATTAGAGAGAGTTCAGCTAAATTAGGGCATCTAACTGGCTTTGACAGTCTCTGAGGTTGGCACTAATGGTCATGAGCCACTCTCAACAACATGACAGTAAGATGCTCTGATACCACAGTATTGGGGGACTACATATCTCAGATATAACAGTAATGTGACAGCTTCCTATTAGATGTTTTGTTATATACGAAGACACTCTTTTAGAGTGACCTGTAACTCTCCCTCATTAGATTAAAGATGCAAATTGTTTATATTAACATTGCAGTTTTCCTTTAACCACAGTGAGAAAAAAAATGCAGTTGGCTATTATGTGCATTTTGTTTTATCAACTAACAGTTTACATATTTGTAATAGCATCATTCTGCTGCACTTGTGCTATCAAAATTACAAAAAGTAAAAATAACTGAATTGTATTTTTCCCTTAGAACTTGTCTTCATTATATGGTGGATAACACTACAGTGATTAATCCACCAGCAGTTGATTTATCACGTCTGCTTAGACTCAATGAATTGTTCTCCGAGCACCCTCCCATCAACTCCGGCACTCCACCAGGATGAGAAGAGTAGCTGGAGTCAACGGGAGATCAGACCCTGTTGACCTTACTGCATAGAAGATACCATGGAAAATATGTCAACTTCAGCTATGCTATTCATGTAGATTCTGTTCATGGCAGTTTGGAAAAAAGTATTTTTTTAAGCTACCATCTTTCTTCCAGAATCTCAGCCTTCTGAATGGAGGGGGGCAGGAGGAGGAATCTCAATAAATTTCTAAGCCCTTATGGTTCAGAAGAAAATCTTCAGAATATTAATTGCATGTAAGCCAATATAGCTTATTGGAGTTTTATTTCATTGTTGATTAAAATATTAAAAAGGAGAGGGATGACCACCATTATGTAAGATATGCCCAATGTAATGACATCTCCTTTGGTACTTGGGAGGATACCACTGATTTCCTTCCCCCACTCTGCACTATTGGGGCCAACAAACCAGAGGAAGGAATGGAGCATAAGATATCTTAACCCACCAAGGAGGAGTCAAACCTGGAGCCTCGGGGAACATCCACACCCCACCAAGGAAAGCTATGTCAAGGAGCCCAACAGATGCCAGATAAGCATCCAAGTCCCACTGAGGGGGAGCCAAGCAAAGAATGTGAGCCTCTCTAAAAGAAAACCAATCCCAAGAAGCCTAGCAGAGACATAGGAATATCAAAACCCCAAAGAAGGTAAGACAACCAAAAGAAACCATCAATGTATGCACAGTCATATTCTGAACAGCTGCACAATCTATTACAAGTGGTAACAAGGGGCCATATTTTGAAGAAGTACCACAATATTCTCTCTCATCTATTCAATTCAATTTTGCATCCTTATTCATAGCAGCTATTTTAGATTTAAAAAGCAGTACTCTAACACCATGTAGCTTTTTAGAAGTGTGACAAAATTAAATATTTGATCATTTAGCCCTTGATTTTACAAGCAGCACTTTTCAGTGCATCTTCCTACAGGACTGGTGTTTAACTTTTCAAGAGATTGCCAGCAGTATGCTTAATACAGGAATCAACTCAATGTTTTAAACCAGAAAAATCTGTAAACCACACGACTGTCATCCTAAATTAAATACACAAAAATAAATTTAAAAAGTAAGATGTTGCCTCTAATTCCCAAAACATAGAACGAACCCACTTTCTTTCATAGCTCCCTATCTCCTTTAATTTTTTTCCTTTAAACAAATCTATCTTTATTCCATTGCTCTACAAACCCAGCAGCTACCACTTTTCAAATTCATATTCTTTCTCCCTCTCTGCCCCCCCCA